CCCCACCAAGTGCATGTCCACTCGTAGCCCTTGCTGTTCCTTTAGTCCTCAGCATCCTTTCCCACGCTCCATCTGGAAAATCTCCATTCCCGCTCCACATTCTAGCCGGAAAGTCACACTTTGTGGGGAGACCCTGTGTTCACCAGCAGTTTTTACCCGCACCCCTACTCTGGTCTGGCCTGCTACTCGGCATCACTGTGTTCCTGTCCTCCTCCCCTGCAGCCTTAGGACTACTGCGTACACACACACTCCTCCTCCTCGCACAGCACCCAGTCCTTCACTGGCTGAAAGGATGCATTCCTGCTGGTGATCTCATCAGAAGACTCTCCAGAGGGGTGATTGGCCTGTGTCACTGTTCGGGGGCCATGGCTCAGGATATCCAGGGGGGAAGGACGGTGTGAAGTTCAGGATTGGGCCATCTTGGCTTGGCTGGGATTCTCAGTGGTTTGGCCTCCAGGAATGGTTATCACCTCCAGGAAGAGATCTAGCATGATCTCATCGACCCATGATGTGACTGGTCAGCTCTGGCCAGATGTGTTTATCCTGTGTGTTGTAAATGCTCACATGTACAATGTTAATGCAGCATTACAGGATGAGACTATATCTTAACTCGATCTCTTTTGAGATACAAACAAGAGAGAAGTGAGCAGGGCTTACAGGGACTTACTGATGGTGTTGGTAGTCCGTGGAGTCAGTTCTGACTCATAGCGACCCTGCACAGGGTTTCCGAGGCTGTAAATCTTTACGGGAGCAGAAAGCCTCATCTTTCTCCTGCGGAGCAGCTGGTAGTTTCAAACTGCTGACCTTGAGATTAGCAGCCTGATTTGTAACCACTACGCTACCAGAGTTCCTCAGAGGACTTACTACCACCAAGATACAAGAGCCAAGAGCGGAGTATGCCCTTTGGACCTGAAGTCCCTGCACAGTGACGCTCCTAGATCCAGGGGAATACTGATTCCAGGACATCTGGAGATCTTCAAGGAATGCTGGGCCTAAAGATGCTGAAAGGACACAAACACCTCTCCCCAGAGCTGTCAGAGAGTAAGCCTGCCTCCAGTGCCTGCACTCTGAATTTAGATGCCTGGCCTCCTAAACTGTGAGGGAACAGATTCCTGCTGGTTAAAGCCATCCACTTGCTATAGTTCTGCTACAGCAACACTAGAAAACTAAAGCAGATGGACACAGGGAGACTGACTGGGAGTGGACATGGGGCCCCCACCCTACACACCTGCTAACAATCGAACCCTCGCATGGACCCCGCCTAAATCCCAGGAAGCGGCCCAGAGGACCCTAGCAGCCCAGTACCGGATGCTGTCGCGCTCTGCCACGATCTTGTCCCGCTCCTGGAAGGCCCAGTCCCGCCGGCACTTGGCCACGTCAGCCTCTTGAAGGGCTTCCTTCAGCTCCTGGCACAAAGCCTTGCGTTGCTTTCGGAGGATTTCAACCTCCTTGTTGGCTCTCCCGGCGTCCATTGTCACCGTGTCCTTAATCTGGAGGATATGGGGACAAGCAGAGGGGGCGCCACTGACTGAGCTCTCTGACCTGGAGGGTCTCCCTACCAGTCAGGGGCTGGGCTGAGTTGCTAAAGAAACACTTGAATCATGTCCAGAGCTCGTCCCAGCACCTGCCCCACCTGCACCTCAACAAGTACACACCCACGTCCCAAGGCAGACTTGTAGTGATGCCAGGTTAGGGTCCCAGTTCAAACTCTCAGGACTGCACATGGGGGAATGCCATGGGTTCTCGTCCACACTCAGCTGGCTCACACCCGCCCAGAGCCTACCGCGGGTCTCTATAGGGTTCACCTGATAAAGTATAATTACCTGAGGCTGGGCTACAGAGGAGGACACAGACGCTAGTCGTATGTGAAAATAACCATCTTCTCACCTTCTGTGTCTGCAGTAATGGGTTATATACGCCAAGTATATTTTTAAATATGTGAAGTTATTTTTAAAAAATGATACACCAGTATTTTTGTTGGTGAAGTAAGTACTGCTTATCTCTGTTCCTTTTAAAAGCTGAAACCAGATGTACAGTCATCTTGACACATCCCTGAAGAATGAAATTACACCTTAAAATTTCCAATAGAACTGTAGACACACACAAATAGAAAAATCTTTCTCTGGTCCTCAACCAATGTAGGAGAAATGACAAAGGGTCAAGCAAACCCCAAGAGGCCCTCAGACCCCTTGGTGCTCCCCCTGTCTGCTTTTTGAGCCAGCTCACCCAAAACAAGGACCTTTGAAGGGTGGAAGGCATCCAGAGAGGTAAAAAGAAAAACTAAGGACGTAGAGGGAAGGGGCAGCTCTGAGAATAGGAAGCCAGAGGGGCTGAACCCCCACCTGGGAGCTGCAGGAGAGACCCCAGGAGAGGGTCAGACTCTCCACCCAGCCTCAGAGCCAGGATGGCCTAGTGCATAGGACTGGCCGCCATTAGCCGAGTTAGCATGGTTTTGTCCATGCAGTTGGACAAACTTCAGAAGGATTTTAGTTCCAGGGGCAGGGGCAGAGCTCTCCTCTCTGACTGCTGGCTTGGAACAGTGCTCCAGAGAGATTCCTGCCTCAGCTGACTGAAGGCTGGATGCCCAGGCAACACCCTCTGCAAAGGCCCGGGAACTGGACTGAGCCTGAAGGGCACAAGCCTTAGGAATGGTGCCAGCACTCAGACACCTTCTCCAAAGACTGCAGGAGGCAGGCATTCACGATACTCATCACAGGTCGGCACTCAGGGAGCTCAATGCTCCTCATAGATCTCCAGAGGGACACTTCCAAGCTCAAACTCCATGTGTTAAGATACCACGGCACATGCCTGACCATTCCCTGAGCCCTCAGCCATTTCCTCTTTCTTCCTGATCGTCTTGTTGTCCTCATCTAATACGGGCTTTGTACCCCAACCACTGAGCATTCCAGAAGATAAAACTGAGTTGCTGACTGAGGAAAATGCAGGACAGAATTTCAACTGCTCATGGACTCTGTAATTCCTGGAGCCATGGAAGGTGGCTGAAACCCTGGAACTACTGGCCTGAGATAATCTTTACACCTTAAATCAAAAATAGGCCCTAAGGTCATTTCGTAGTGGTTACGAATTGGGCTGCGAACCGCAAGGTCAGCAGTTCGAAACTACCAGCTGTTCCACGGGAGGAAGATGAGGCTTTCTGCTCCCGTAAAGATTTACAGCCTCGGAAACCCTGTACAGGGTCGCTATGGGTCGGATCCGACTCGACGGTAGTTAACAACAAAAACAACAACAACAAGGTCATTTTAAAACTGAATAACCGTTTGACTTAATTAGTAAAAAATGTCTGCTTGGGCCTTATGCTCTTTTATTAAGAGCCATCCATGTGAGAGATCAAACTGACAACAGCAACCCAAAGGATTAGAACCTTAGAGGGCAGTGATTGTGTTCATGGAGAGGACCAACTCAGAAAAGAAACGTTAACAATGGCTATGCAGCTCCAAGAAGGTAGAAACTGCTGAACTGGCATATGTTTCGCTGTGTATTATTCCCAACAACCAAACAATAAAATTTAGACGGGAACCCCCTTGTTCCCTTCCCCACTCCCAAAAACAGAGATGCTGCTTTTTCTAGGACAATTACTAAGTTCCAAGGCATTGTGTCTGTTTATTGGGAATCCCTTCCCTCATGTCTTTCTTACAGTTTCATCGAAGTAAGTTTCTTTCCCAGAGTACACACCCATTGGTTTTTACCTCAATGGTGTACAGACTTCTCAGTCCCTTTGTAGAAAATTGCCATTAATTGGCCCTTTCTACCTCTAACATTAGTTTCAAAGGGTGTCCCCCCACTTCCCAATACTAACCCGGCAGTAAGATTCTAAGGGTAATAACATTAACGTTAATGATAAGCAATAAAGACTGAAATTGTTCCCCTTCATGTGGGACGACACATTCGAAGGGATTTTTCTGAAAGAAACGACTTGAGCATCATAAGCACCTTACAGGGAAAATTAGAAAACTGAGGAACAGAAAAGGTGAGAGAGTGGGTGGAGGAGGCCCAGATTTTCCTCAGTTCCTGACACTGACTGGCACAAGACTGTCAGTGGGAAGACTCGCAGGGCCCTGGGCACCCTCAGGCATCAGCTGTGCGCTGTGCTGGGCACACAGTCCCCTACCAGTTGTCCTGGGCCTTAGCACCTTGCCTTTTGCTTCTCATGGTGATGGTGGTGGTGGTGGTGGTGTGCCGTGAAGTCGGTTCCAACTCTACAGGGTTTCTGAGGCTATAAATCTTTACGGGAGCAGAAAGCCTCATCTTTATCCCGCAGAACAGCTGGTAGTTTTGAACTTCCGACCTTGAGGTTCGCAGCCCGATTCGTAACCACTACGCTACCAGGGACCATTTTAAAACCCGTATTCTAACTGACCTGCACAGGTAACAATAAAGGAGCAGCACAGATAGAAAATGCTTTGATGGAGAAAAGTTCTGCTTTGATCCAGCTCAGGAGCGCTACACTGCAATAAGGAACGGGCTCATATATGCGGGAGTCCGTGGGCATGTCCAAGCCTGGACTTGGGATGAGAGGCACCAATAATGAGGTCAGGTGGTTGGATAGAAAGGATGCATGGAATGCACACTGATCACACACGTGTCTGGATGAGTGGTCTAGTCTAATGCTACTGAGCATTGCTATCCCACTGGCCCCAGAGCATGGCCTACAGGGAGCACAGCTTTGGTGGAAGGATCCTTGGGCTCAGCCTAGTACAACGTGTTCCCAGCATAAGTGTGGACCATCCCTTTAAAGAGCAGTCTCTCTCCAGCAGATGTATGCAGCTGGTGGCAGATGGTGGTAGAGTTCCTAAGGATGCTCTTCCTGCTTGGAAGAGGAGACATGGCCATGGCCCTGGGACCTAGGACATGGGATCTTAATGAGCAAGCCCTGTAGATAACCCTGACTTCTTACATGACTATGATGGCACGTAAGCTCCAGAAAGCCAAGACCATGCCTGGACCTCACCAGAACTGGGCACTGAGCACAGGACCACCTGGGCAGTGCTTCCTAACCCGGCTAACATCCAGACCTGAAATGACAAGCCCTTCCCTTCACCTCAGAAGCGGGCTCCAGAACCAAGCACCGTCTGCACGCTGCAACCGTCCACCTACCTGCCGCAACACCTCCATCTCCTCACTGGCTGTCTTCTTCTCCGATGTGCTACTCTTCAGCTTAGATTCTGCCAACTCTACCTCGGTCTGCAGCTTGTCCAGCTCAGAGATGACCTGGTCCCGCTCACTCATGATGAGCTTGTACTCGCTGTACACCGCATCCCGCTCCTCCTTGTACTTCTCCGACTCCTTGGTGGCCTTCGCCTGCGCGCTCCTCAGTTCTATCAGCTCCGACTGTAGGAGCTCCATCTCCCACTGCAGGTCCTTGTTCTGGGCCGTGGCCTTATTCAGCTCGTGGTGAATCGCCTCGAACCTGGGGAGAGAAGCACCAGGGCATGGCAGTGGGCAGTTCCGCCTCACTGGACAGTGAGGTCAACCTCCCACACCCCCAAGAAAGAGAAATCATGGTGGACCAGTACCCCTGAACCTCGAATTTTCTCTGCCTCTTACAAACAATACGCGTTGAGCAGAGGACTTCTCACCTTCTGCTATGCTAAAAACAACACCTGATTTCTACAGCCAAGCTACTCTTTTAATAATAATAAAAAAAAGATCACAAGATCTGAAAGTGGCCTTTACCATCATTTAACCCAGCCTCCCACTGAGAGACGGATCACTAGGACTTGAGGTGGTAGGTAACTGACCCAAGGTCCTAACCCAGGCTTTCCAGGCCAGGAAGTCCCTTCCTCGCAAGGCAGCTCTGCCCTAGGCCCTGAGGTCCAGAAAAGCATTTCTCAAAGTGTGTTTCTTAGAACATCAATGAAGCAATATTTCCACTTAAAACATGTTTCCACGATGCTGATTTATATTTGAGTCCCTGCTCCTGTACCCTGAAAAGTCCTATAGCAAAGAAACAATCAACAAACCTACTAACCCAGAGAACACATTTTTTCATATGAAACTGAGAACCAGAGAACCAGTGTTCATCAGGACTGTTCCTCATGAAGCACTATTTGAGGCATACAAACCACACCTCCAAAAAGGACTATTTTCTCTAATACAAAATGCAGCTATAGAAGAAACAATGCCCAGAAGAATGAACTTCCCCATTTGATGGATGGGAGGGAGACACTGACAGAAGAGGCTTGTGGGAAATGAAAGAAACAGAATGCTCAGAAAATCCAAGAGTTGTTCAGATGAGAGCAGGCAGCCACAGTTCACACTACACGCTGAGTTTCTGGGACAGTTAATTTGATGCATCAACTTCACTATGCTAGGCTGCCCAGTGATTTGGCCAACACTCTTGTCCTGCAAGATGGGCAGTCCCATTTCCAAGAGTTCGCTGCAAAAAGTGCATATGGTTCTTTAGTCTTACTTTAGTGCAAGAAAAGGCCCAAAGAATCATTTAAAAGCTGCATGATTGTAATGAAGAATTTGTTGTGAGTAAGGTTCATTCAAGGAGTCCTGGTAACACAGTCATTAATAGGAGACAATTGTGGTCGCCTGCTGTGTAAAGATTTACAGGCTCAGGATGGGTCTGAATCAAGACAACAGCACTGAGTCCAGGTTGTAGGAGGGCTGGGTTCAGGTGGTTCCAAGTAAGGGCAGATTTACGTAACACCAAGACAATGCTTCAAAGATGGCGGCATCAAAGAGGGTGAACAGGGTGTTACTCTGAATGTTTGTTCTTCTCCACAGTCCTTCTAATAATCCATCCTCATCCATCAAGCCCCTGTGAGTCTCTTCTGAGTCTCCCACTTCAGGGCTTCAGATCTATAACTTCCTGTTCCCGTTACTGCAGCGAGTCACCTAAATTGTAAAGACTCCCATCTATTCCTATTTTATTTCACCAGCCATAAAAAAAATTAAAAAAAAAAAAAAGTTCAAAGCCCTCCATTGAAGGTCAGGTGGGAGTTGTCCATAAACTAGACATTTATAACCGGGAGAATGCCTATTTGTTGCTGTGCTAAATGCCATCGAGTCGATTCCGCATGATTGCGGCCCGGTATAGGGTTTCCAAGGTTGTAAATCTTTACGGGAGCAGAAAACCTCATTCATCTGCAGAACCACTGGTAGTTTCAAACTGCTGACCATGAGGTTTGCAGTCTGCCTTATAACCACTATGCTCCCAGAACTCCTAGAGAATGCCTATAGTTACACATTGTTGAATCAGCTGGCCTTAGGTAGACCAGATGCCCTTTCCTAACAGAATCTAATGCACTGTGATCAATCAGTGGTCCGAATAATGAAGGATCCTAAAAGTAATTACCTTTGAGTTATAAAAACATCAGGATAGTCAGAGAGACACACAAGGGACATGTAGGATTGTCTTCAATCCTTTCTTCATCTGTGAGACATAAGCCCACCAACATTTTCAGCCTCTCGGGTTTCTTGGGAAGCTGCTATGCAACTGCATAAATCTGAGGAAGCAGGTCTCACCCCATGCAATGTATTACCAGAGTCCACTTGGGATACATGTGTCCCACGTAACTGTATCAAACTCCTTATTACCTTAATTTTATTTTCTCCTTGATTTCAGCATGCCTAGTGTGGCACTGTGGGTTAACGCAAAGTTGGTTTGAACTGATCTGTGGTTCAAGCTCACCAGTCACTCTTTGGAAACCCTCTACAGGGTCACTATGGGAGGGAACTGACTCAACGGCACTTAACAACAACACAACCATTACAGAAAACACATGATATCAACCAAAAACACAAAGCAGACAATAATTCTATCGTGAGAGGGACAAGGAAAGAACTCCAAGAGGCTAATGAAAGGAAATACGGATAGGTCTCTTGTGACATAATAGTGAATAATTGTTATCAAAACTGCTTGTGAGGGTTGGAAATGTAAAGGTAGACGTTTTGCAGCAAGGAGGGGAGTGATTAACTTTGCAGTCTAGGAGCGGAGGTCCCTGAGACCATCAAGGAGAAGAGCGGAGAGCGGGACCCTACCCAGAGAAGCAGTGATGCCTGAGATGGAGGCAGAGACGATGACATGGAGAGATGGAGCAGCTGGGGACTTCAGACACAGAAAGGGAGAGGGGCTGTGTGCTGATGACCGGGGGGCAGGCTTGTAGTGTATACCCTTTGGTTGGTTGATGATGCATGGAGGGGACTGTAACCATGGCAATGATACATGATAGGATGAATATAAAAAACTAATGTTCTCCCATGTAAACTATCACATAATTCACAATAAAACAGTTTGAAAAAAAAAAAAAGGACCCAAAGATAGCTAGCAGACACTAAAAACCAGGAAAGAGCCTCACAGAAGCAAAGGTGGATGTTTTGCCTCCAGAAATGTGAGGAGTTAATATGTTCTTCAAAGCCACCTACATGTGAAATAGGTAACTAAGACAAAACCCCAAAAATGTTTCCTGGGAACATTCCTTCACAGACAAAGGCCACTAGCTGTGCTGATATCCCTCCCTGAAGTGGCTGGGAGTTTTGCAGACAAGCCCACAAAGGAGAGGGGCCCAGCAGCAAAGTCAACCAAGCAGGCTCTGCACAACTCCAAGAGCAGGAGGCGGGCGGGCAGACAGGCAGCCCGGGCTCCTACCTCCGCAGGGAGAGGGCACACTGGTGCTGAAGCTGGATGGCGGTGTCCCTCTGCTGCGTCAGCATGTCCATTTGCTTCAGCAGCCGCTGGTTCTCACCCTCCAGCTGACCTAGGCGGCTCAGGTCCGAGTTGTGGATGGCGACTTTCTCGCTGTACCGCTTCCGTAGGGCGTCATGGTCCTTCTTAACCACCTCCAGCTTGTCCATGGCAGTGTCGTACAGCTTGTTGAGGATCTCAGATGACCCCTTGTGCTTCAACACCTGAGGGAAGACAGAGTCACACTCGCCAAATGGCTGTAGATGAGGGAGAGGACAGGCCGCGCCCTCTGCCTTCTCAAGTCTTTGGCTGACTCTCCAGGCCTTAAGTCACCCTGGGCTGATTCAGTCAGTCATTAGTTCACACATACTATTAAAACCTGTGCACAAAACAATTAACACAGCAAGTCCAAGAGTCCCACCTTAGAAAAGCTTTATACAGTGTCAGTCTTAGCTGATGTCTGATTAAGGGTTCCCTGGTGTCTCACTGTAGGATAAACTCTGGACTGCTAACTGCAAGGTTGGTGGTTCAAATCCACCAGCCACTCCTCGGAAACCCTATACAGGTTCACAATGAGTCAGAACCAACTCGACAGCACACAGCAGCAGCAACAGTGACATGCAACTTCCCTAATTGGTAAGAGGACTGGACTGCTAACCACAAGGGCTGAAGTTCGAGCCCACCACTTACTTTATGGGAGAAAGATGAGGCTTTCTGCTCCTGCAAAGGTTTACAGTCCCAAAAGTCCTATACAGCTGGAGTAGGGAACATCTGGCCTGTGGGCCGTATCGATCTACAAAATCATTTGGTCTGGCCCTGCCAAGGCAACTGCAGGTGGGATCAAAAATTCAATAAATCTAGGAGATTTTTCATAGCAACATAAATTTCTACTTAATGATGTTATAAATATCCAGATGGCTCTTGGCAGAACAAAGGTTCCCCACCCCTGAAAGAAGGAAAAAGTCAAAATGGATATCAGAAGAGACACTAAAAATTGCTCTCCAGCATAGAGATGCTAAAGCAAATGGAAGAAATAAGGAGGTCCTAGAGCTGAACAGAAAATTTCAAAGATCAGCTCAAGAAGATAAAGCCAAATATTACAACAAAATGTGCAAAGATCTGGAATCATAAAAGCAAAAAGGAAGAACACGCTCAGCATTTCTCAAGCTGGGGGAACTGAAGAAAAACTTCAAGCCTCGACTTTCATTATTGAAAGATTCTCTAGGCAAATTATTGAATGATGCAGAAAGCATCAAGAGAAGATGGAAGGAATACACAGAGTCATTGTACCAAAAGGAAATGGTTAATG